TTAACTTAGAATTTCTACACGTATAGAAATTCTACTGATTCCATTTCTTGTATAAAAACACAAAACAAGATTGATCGATGTATCTCATATATTTTATCCCTTTGTCATTTCGAAACTCACTTCACTTATACCACGTAACGTTAATACTAATTTAAGGTTAAGTGAATTCAGATACCTGAGTTAATTCGAATTCGGGTTCGGATTTTTACGGAATTGCTCTGCAGTTGTTTAGTTGGCCGAGGACAAGTTGTTTCATGAAACGCGACGGCACCGTGACGACCACTAACACGAATCATTTTTATATTGAACACTAATTATAAACAATTAGAATTTTTTTAATTACATATATAATCGCTTTTGATGACAATATGTAAACGATCAAAATGTTTCTTGACCCTTTACATATTTTGATTATGAATAAATTATTAAAAGCTCCCGCAAACTATATATACCAAATGGCGGTTCCGAGCAACAGAAAAGGATAGAGTAAGTTAGGTAGGTTCCCATTAAGTACTTCTGTGTTACCTACTTCTTAATTACTTAACTGTTTATATCAAGTGCATTGAAATCACTTTAACATGCCTTAATAAAAAAAATGGGAAAATAAAATTAACTACAGCATTTCAAATTAATTATTTAACGGTCAACTTATACAGCGAAAACTTTGATTTATTTTAACTCCTGGAAAAACTTTTAACTGAAAGAGTGTTATGTTATTTATTAGTTCATGATATACTCGATACTTTAACTTTATGTCTTTGATTCAGATCACATTCAAAGTGATTCGCATTTATAATTAGTTCACTAGTTATTTATAATTACTTGTGTTTTGCAACCGACTGTAGACCAGCAACCGTAACCCCTTCGATTTATGGTCAATTAATGCTCTAGTATGTCTTTTGATAACTCATTTTTTTAATAGTCGAGCAAACCGACATGAAAAAGGTGTACGCCAGTCTAAGTTACATCCTGCCCGTTCGAATGGAGATAGCACACACAATTTAACACGGACTATTAGCTAACGGCCTAAGTGTAGCACAGACAATTGGAATAACAGCAGGGCATCTACGACTATGTGAATAACATCTTGACAAATATCAAAACGACTAGCAATCAATCCGTGTGTAAATTTAGATAGTGGGTTTATTACTAATTTGTTTGTTTTTTTTTACTATCTTATCGACACTATGGCAGTTATTGACTATTCCTAAAATAGCTTCAGGGCTTTCGAGTTATTTCTATTTCTATAATTAACAATTTTTAGTATCACATCACTTAAAGTCATTTGTAACTCAGTGAGACAGGCAATGTATTTTTTAAATATTAAAATTATTAGTCTTCCTGTCATCAGTAATCTATCCTATGACTATATGTCTCTAATTAACTCACAAATTGTATGAGAAGTTCAAACAAGTGTATACGATAATATTATAGAATACGAGGGTCAAACTGAAAGTTCTTAGAACTGGCCACTTATAAACAATATAATAAAAAAATAATTCTAAAATTTGAAAATATAACTCTTTGCCAATATTACTGAGTATATATTTCATTAATTTGTCATTTGTTTTACGATTTGGCGGCAAATTGAAAATTGTCTGTGTCACGTCATCATGAATTTAACACGAGAAAATTTTCGTGCAATGATTTTTTATGACTTTCGATGTCATTTAAGTCAACAAGAAAGTTATGATAGACTACGATTGGCCTTTCACGATGAAGCCCCATCTCGTGCGACTGTTTACAACTGGTTTAATGAGTTTAAACGTGGTCGCACTAATCTCACTGACGATTTACGTGAGGGACGGCCTTCTACGGCGACGACTGAAGATAACATCTGTGTTGTGCGGCGTATGATAGAGACTGACAAAAGAGTGACCTATCAACAGATTCGGACAAGCTTAGGCATCGGTATGAGTCAAGTGCACAAAATCCTCCACGAACATTTAGCGGTCAGGAAGCTTTGCGCCCGGTGGATACCTCATAATTTGACTGAGGCTCAAAAACTCCATCGTGTGGATTGGTGTCGTAAAATGATTGAAAGATTTAACGGAGGTGACTCAAATGCTGTGTTCGACATACTAACAGGTGACGAAAGCTGGATTTACTGTTATGATCCCAAAACCAAAAGACAATCTGCTCAGTGGGTGTTTCCTTTCGAGGAGTTGCCAACTAAAGTGAAGAGAGATCGAAGTGCGGGAAAAAAAATGGTGGCCTCGTTCTTTGGAAGGATAGGTCATTTTGCAACAATTGTGTTAGAGGATCAAAAAACAGTTTCTGCAGAATGGTACACTACCAATTGTTTGCCACTTGTCTTGGAAAAAGTTCGAGAGAAACGACCTCGCAGTAGGATCCTCCTTCACCACGACAACGCCTCGTCGCACACCGCCAAGCGAACGATCGACTATTTGGCGACATCAAACGTTGAATTACTGGGTCACCCGCCGTATAGCCCCGACCTCGCGCCTTGTGATTTTTATTTATTTCCAAAAATTAAAGAAAAACTTAAAGGAAAGCGGTTTATGAATGCTGAAGAAGCGGTGGCTGCGTATCGCGATGCCATTGAAGAGACCCCTAAGGACGAGTGGGCAAAGTGCTTTTCCCAGTGGTTCCATCGCATGCAGCGGTGTATTGACGTGAATGGACAATATTTTGAAAAGATATAATAAAACTAATAACTGGCTAATGTAATCAGTTTTTGATTTTCTAAGAACTTTCAGTTTGACCCTCGTAGAATTCTTGTTAGAAGACAAACATTGGTAGCAATTTTACATCCTAACCAAACGAACCAGATTCTATTACTCATAAGTGATACTATGAAATTTCCAACAGACTCAGCTTCTGGTGCAATAGAGGCGCTCTCATCAGGCCTTGTACTCGGAAATCACATGAATTATATCGTCAATTTTTATATCTTCTGTCCAACTCTTACATACTCTTTTATATCATAAAGTAGATCAGAGCACAATGAACTTGTCGTTGGATCAAAAATTGATTTTTAAAGAGTACAAGCCCAGTGTCAAGCGTATGAAAGTATGAAACTGATTGGAATTGGACGGTAATCTGCAGTGTTTTATATCGTAGAAGTTGAGATACTGAGTTAGCATACAGTAATCAGTATTACGATGGCGTGACAACCAGAAGTTATACCACTGGCCAGCGTGCCACCAACGCTGTTAGATATTCGTTACAACTGTTTAACTGCTCAGATTAAACGCGCTTTTTGTTGCATTTCCATTCATTTAACACCTCACCGGAATACCAACTTTTTGTTGTGAAGATAGAGATCACATTCGATTGTTATAATATAATATTTACTGGAAAAGTATTTAACAAGAGAAATAGTACAACAGTTATAAATTTTATTTGATTATATGAGAAAGTAGTAGTTAGTGGTAGCTTTTATTTGATCCAATTTTGCTTTTACTAATATCATATAATTATGTGAGAGTTTGTTTACCTTTTAACATTGTTTTTTAGGGTTCTGTAGTAAACATGAAACCCTTATTCTTCACCGTGCTTCACCGTGTCCGTCTGTCCACCGTCCGCGATTTAGCTTATAATCTATTGGTACTAGAAAGTTGTAATCTAGCATGAGTATACACGTTAATTATGCCGGCAAAGTGGTAAAGTAAAATTTCGAAAAAAGGTTTTTTTGGATGCATGTAAAATGGGGATGATATTTTTTTTTAGGTGGCTAATATATAACGATCATTGTGGCAGTTAGAAAAGAGAGAATACATATTAAGGTTTGTGAAGACTGAAGAAATTCAATCGTCTAGTCGAAGTATGCATTAGTAGGTTACATACTTAATGGATTCTTCGTCGAAGTTTGTCTGTAATGCATCTTTCGTCCTTATTAGCTTGAATGTCAGTAGGTAAATTCATTTACTTAGTTGATATATGAATTTATCTATATAAAGGTATAAAGAAAAAGAGAATCTAATTGACAACATTTTAATTAAAAAAACACCACAAAATCTATTTGACATAAAATGCCACATTCCGAATTGCTTAAGTACATATTCGCTATGTAACTATTACAGCTTTAGTAGGTACTTTACATATATAATACTTCAAATTGTGTATTTTATACTAGTAGTACGTAGCTATATAATATCATTATGGACACTAAATAAGTTATAACTATGTATAATATACAATTTCTTTGCACATTTTTTTTCTATCGAATAGTGTTGTTTTTTTGTCTGATTTTTAATCACGGTGAAATTTAATATTTGTTTTTGTATGATGTCCCAAATGGGGTTTTAAATTAATTCAACTCTATAAAGTGGATGTGTTCGCATAGAAGACAACAAACTAATGGAGTTCTATCATTGAATACGTAAAATAAAGTTAAATAAATATGCTGTAATTTTTGTATTTTTGTTAGTAATGTATAAATAATTAGAAAAATATAGTTTTTAGTTAGATCTTTACAATATATCTTGTCGGTTTGGCTCTGTGTCAAAACAAACTTTAACTCAACTAGTTCTCATCATATTTAAAATATGAATTTACCGCTCACTCTTTTAGAGATATTGCCAAACAAAATTGTATTGAAAAATTTAAAAAGTTCATTAAATTTATCATTTCCTCACACAAGCTGAGAGATATTATATAAAATAATGACAATGGTGGAATGTTAAACGGATACCTGTAATGCATGTATATCTATGAACCTTAACTACTTACAAAGCGAGTGAACTCTATCCATAATTACAAACATCAATTTTATACATTACATTAGTTTCTTACATCGATCTGGGTTTATAATATCACATATTCTGGACAAGAGTTGCGCGCTCGCAACAACAATGCCATATTGGAAATATGCTATTCGAACGTTCATTGTTTAATACATTATATCTCTTTTCATAATACAGGTTTTCTAGAAACGTAGAACACAGAAGGATGCTTTTATAGTCCACTCCCTCACTGTACACTTCACCTGTACTATTTTAAGTACAATTTCACAAAAAAGCTTTGTGTTGTCGTAGTTAGACGTGGATCGGTTCGTCATCTTCATCGTCATCTGAACGTCTTTCGACTGATGGTTCTCTGGGAGATCGCGGGAGAGGCGCTGGGCTTCCAGGATCGACATCCGGGGAGGGAGTTCGTCGGGCCTGAGCGTAATATCCTAAAGCACCTAGCGCTGGGCCACCTAGAGACCCCAGGTGAGCGGATGGACCAGGTATTCCAAGTCCTAAGGGTGGAACTCCCCCTAAAGGTGCGCCAGGATATAACCTGTAGACAAATCATTTCGATGACGATTGGAATAAACAAAAGGATAGTAAAAAGAGTATCAGCTAAATAACATAGCTTGATAAAACGAGATCTTTATTAGATATCGAATCTATGAAAAATATTGAAACCGAGATTATTTCTTTATATATTACTCCAATTATGTAAAGTTCTTTTTATATTCTATATAGGCATAGTTTATAGTAAAGCTAATTACATTGACATAAATAAAACAAACAAAACTTTTAATTAACAACAATATTTTACTTTAATTATACATATATGTTTCACTTATTATTTTTTTCTTTCTTTAGCGAGTAACGAGTTACAATCGAACTGTAATAATTGAAATTTACTGATGAATATACAGTCAACAGCAAATCAGACTATACAAATCTGTCAAATTTATCCACTCAATTAAAAAAGCTTAATGTTGTAAGGGTAGAGTTTAAACTCAACTGGAGAAATTTGACATACTGTGGTAACCTGACGTGCAGCCGTGTGTACCTACGAAATGGGTGAATAAAAACTTGTTTTATAATCATGGTAAATAAACCTAATCTGATAGTAAACTATGATACTATTTCTTCACATGGGAGTATCGCAAATCCATGTTGAGTGATAAATTTGTCAAAGCTTTCATAATATCGATTAGCGGTTTCATATATGAAAAATATTTCTTACCGATAAGGCAGCGGCTTTTGTAGTGTATTAGCTGATGCTGAAGCAGCGGCAGCGGCAGTGGCGGCTGCTTGCCGATAGTACAGGTCAGCTGTGGGCGCCGGCTGCGCAGGGTACGCGGGTACTCCGGCCCAGTAGCCACCATAAAGACGTTGGAATGCCGCGTAGTTACCAGCCTCAGCTAGCAGCTCTAGACCTACTGCTGTTTGCCTCTTCCATTTCGTTCTAAGAACAAGAACAAAGACAATGTAAGATTTAAAAGAAATAAAAAAGGCTTCAAAAAGGACATCGCTTGTATGGCTAAATAAGAGTCCGTTTTCATTGTAGTAATATTTTTCGAAAGTAGGTTTTTTGATTTTAAAATTTCACTCAAAACTTTGTCGTGTTTTCAAAGATTTTTTAAAGGCTAAATAAACCTACCCAAATTAAGTAAGAATTATTGGTTAACAGAGTCATCAGAACGGTTTCTAATTTTGTAACATTTTTCTTTAGTATTAAAATTTTAACGGTACAATTACATTATAAATATCGACAAAGAATTAACGCTCCATTAGCCATACGAATAAATCGAAACCGTACGCGCCGTGCGAATCCCACAACTATACGTATAAAAACGATTTATGCTACATTAGTAACTTAAATTCTGTAAACTATCATTTACGCTCCCCAAGGCCCATAGATCACAGACCCCAAACTTTGTGACCCCAGTGCAGTCATCAAATTTGTCACAGACTACTCGAGTACACAATGAAGAAGCCGCAATGAGAATAGTAATAAAGAGTTGTAATAAAAAATAAATAAAATAATAAATTTGACAAAACGTCTTGGGCACTCTAGTGTTCGCTGGAGCGCGGACGAGTGCTTTAATTTGATTTATTTGATTCGAGAAAGGGTGAGCGGAGATATATTACGGGATTACTAGTGTATGTCGTAATTTTTTTGTAATGTATTTGTTATTTGCTTTACAAAAAAGATTTTATGTTTGTAATAATCTCTTTTATTGATTAAATTAATGAATTTAGCGGGCGTAACTTTTTCTCCCGGTTACATTTAATAACCTTGAGTAATATAATTTTAAAAATTATCAGCTTTGTTATTTTTTAATTGTATATTTAGGCACATTTCCAAGGGCTACTTAAACAATGACACGTATTATTTTTATTCGTACAATAACATCAGCCAAACAATTGTAAAAAAAATAGCACCCTACTATAGTCCAATTTAATATCGTCGTTGAGTATTCGATTAGTTACGAGTACTATTGTCATCGAGTGAGCTTTTTATTAATTTAAAGGGAGTTATTATACCAGTGCGCATCATTGTTATTGCTACTGGCTCAGATCTTCGTTGTGGGGTTGCGGTTATTAGCAGACGGTTCACCGACCACCTAGTTAATTAATTTCTGTAAATGGATCATTTAATTTCATTAAATGTAAATGAGGAGGAGTTCAGACGGCTTTAGTCCTCTTTCATATAATGATTTATTGTCATATCATTTATTACGAGCACTCGTTAAAAGTTTATTTTCGGAACAGTACAGTGATTAACATATTTTTTTATAGATATAACTTCCACACTATTGGAAGTCGAGCGTTTAATACTGGCAACACTCGGCTCTACGACGCTTTATTTAAATGCCGATCCTTAATTATCGGTAGCTGACAACTGATAGATAGAAAGCGGCCGAGCTCGCATTAATCACATTATTATGACGGGTTGTTCTTAACGAACGCCATTCAAGAGCACTTATTTAATTGTGGAGCGTTGAATGAGAGCCAATCTGCTCAGCGACACTATTATTTTACTGCCTCCGTCGACTACGAACAAAAAGCTCTCAGAGAGCACTTAAATTCGGACTGCCATCTCAAGAATTCGTAGATAATACTCTTTTCTCTTTCTTGCACATACAGAGACTGGCCGAGGTGGGTTTCACCGTCTCTGTCGCGCAGTCCCCCTGCGGAGTCTGAGTATGCTCCGCCCAGTGGTTTAGTGATTTGATGCTGCGTGAACTGATTCAATTGTTGTTCAAGTAAGTCCATCCGAAAACGTGCCTTAACTGTTGTAGGTTAAAGACGAAAATCGTCCGGTAAAACGTTCCCGCTTACGACGTCTCCTCAAGGGGAGGTTGTTTATCTCGATTTGGGTTTTTGGGCGACGTGATGCGAATTCGGCTTGTATAACCGCCAAACAAAGAGCACTTTCATCGATCTGTGCGTCTGTGCCGCTGTGGCACTTGGGCTCTTATGTTACTCAGCGATCGGCCCAATTTGAGCTTCATTCGAACGTTATTTATACGCTGCTTAGAAAGTTTCTGAAACATGTTTGTATACGAGTGTTCTTATGGGAATTGTATGAAGTTTGAGCGCTTTTAGTGTTATGAAGGGGTATTATGATATAAAATGATACAGATATATTTTTTCTATTCTTCTAGCGAGATTTCTGTGCAAAAATACAGATGCAAGTATGAATCGTTGCCTAAAATGTTAACAACGCATAAAAAAGAAACACTATTTCAAACCGAACTAAGCTGTTATATCAAATATTAATTTTAAATTCAAGATTTACTTACTTTACTATTTATACTTAGTCGTTGTTTTTATTTACGATTATAATTACCTATTGATATTGAGTAGGAAGCTATATAATTATTGAAGCAAATTGTTAAAAAGGAAAAATAAAACTCTATCACGAATTTACCAACGTATCGTATATAGCGTTGTCCTATATTTTATTGAGATAGTGTTTTTATTACTCAGAGGGGCTAATGTTTGCCTGCAAAATTATCATTCATCGGTTTCCATCACGATCCGGAGTTAGACCGTTCAAATTATAAAGTAGAATAATGAAATCCCCTTATTAAAACCCATCCGAAACTCAAATGGCATTTGCAGTATGATGATTATTGGTTAAAATGATAAGTCGACCGACCTCCGGTGACCTTGGCTCGGATCCCGTGTCTCTGACTTGTAATTTTGGATTCTCCTAACCGATTAGTGTTCTTGGTAGCAACGAAGCCTGGGCATTATGTGATTATGTGGTTACACACGTACGGAATTCCGATCACTTGGATTTCAATGTTATTTTTAAATATTCCGATCGTATGGTTTTCTATAATTGAAAACTCTCGTGCTGAACAGCCGCTTTCATGGCTATTAAATACGCATTTACAATGCAGAATTGTAGGTACCTATATTTTCGTGTGCATTTACCTTTGACCAAGATTTGTTTGTGTCACGAATAAGGTAAGGTTATTTTACGGCAAATCCATTTTATTTCCTTTTTCCATAAACAAAACAAGGTTTGATAGCTACAAAACCTTTTTTTTAATCTCTAAAGGTGAGTTTCTTGCATAATTGAGCTTAGTGCTCTGACTCTGATGTTCTGGATTCTTCTCTCTATGAAGTAACTCTATATGTATATAGTACTTAGTGCTCTTTGCATTAGGTCAGTATCAAAATCTAGATAGGTGGCAACAGCCTTTTTAATTTGACTGGACAGTTTAAAAAAGAAGTGGCTATTCTCCTTGTGTGATATTACACGAATAAATTCTAGCTACTTTAGAACCCTTCACAACTCATAAACAAATACACGAAACCTACATACATGGAAGGTATATTTATTAAATAAAGAACCTAACATGCAAAGTATTTTAAATGAATGATAATTTAGCTCAAACTATCATTGATATACGGCATATTCATTGGTAACTAACTCAATCTTCAAAAATCTAACCCATTTCTAGATGACTAACAATCTTTATATATGTTACTAAGGCGATATGTATGTACCTATATTTTGTTTGTTTCTATTTTTTATCAACAAACAAATAATAATATAACTCCAGTACCAATAGAAAGCAACATTAACTTGCTAATATTATACGGCCTGAACGTAAAAAATGTCCGAGTCAAATCCTTGAATTACATTCCGAATTTCTTTTATTCCCGAATTAACACAGAACTTGGCATCCTTTTAGATCACAATTCTTAAGTCTGTGAAATTGAGAATAATGCATTATTCAATATTGGACTTGGCTCTTAATTCATATTTATGTTTTTGATGGAATAAATTTTTATACTGCACTGTATAACACACCTAACAGTATGCCAAAACAAATATTAATAGAACCAACTTATTTTTATTTTATTAAATCGAGCAAAGTAGTATCTAATTACATTGAGATCTTACTGAGCTTATAAACTTCGGATGTTAAAAGAGGATATGGGACAATATATTTGTAGGTTTACTACTTATTATATTACCTATTTCTTTAATAACCAAACGTTCCATCAGAAACTCTGTAATAGGAACTTGGAGTTGTAATAGGTATTTGTAAAAATAATTCCTATACCTATCTCAAATTGTATAATTTTTCACCTTGTGTATTCCGATTAGTATTACGCATACTGCTGCGCTTGCCGTTTATATCAATGATACGAATTTACTTTGGACGTTAACCCATAACCTCTAAGTCATTAAGGTTTTGTGTAGAGGAGTTCACGTTTCAGTTCACGCATCACTTGAAATATTATGTAAATTTCTTAGTGACTTGAATTCTATTACACAAACTATGTTACCGTGCTTTATTTTACAGTTTCAGAGTCAATACTACTATTTAAATATTTCCTTTCCAAATTGGCTTAGTTATAATATGTAAATGAGTGTACTCATATTAATGTCACAGTGAACGCGTGGTTTGGTAATCGTCTCAGATTACAAGCTAGCGTCGCCTACGCTTAGTCTACCAAACATATAACACATTTACCACCGCTTAGAAGTCGCAAAAGTATCAATACTAATAAGTATTTACACTATTAGGCCGCTCTTTCACCAGTAATGTGCTATACTACGTTGTTATTTATGAGTGTGGTATTCACATAGGACATATTACCCTAAATTTCTGTCGTCAGTTATAGTAAATGATTTTTATAAACGTTAAACTTCATTCACGGAGTAGAATCGAGCAAAGATTGGAGTAATAGTAATACAATAGGAATTTAATATTTTTTGAATTCATAATAAAAAAGAGTGTAATTGTATTCAATAAAACTTACATCGTTGCTGCCTATTTGGAATAGTAAATATTCGAAAAAAGTTTGTTTATTCCATCTTCGCCGATGTTTGCGTAATGTCTATTGAAATCATTGGCCCACGGAGCATAAAATAAATATATTAGGGCATAATATATTACCCGCAACGCTATGTAGCACATCGCTGGTGGAAAAGCATCCTTAAAGTGGTCTATGTAAAAAAATATTCATATTTTGTGACTTGACAATACGACTTACGCAATAATACTGTTTTTATACACGCTTCATTGCTTTTTCGGCACCTGTAGCCTTCGCAAAACATACTCTCAGAAGACCTAAAAGTATCAAGACTAATAGGGATCTTTGTTAAAGAAGATTTATAATGATTCAATAAGCATACAAAGTTAAAATGTAATTACAATTATTACACCTAGTACAAAAAACTTTCGTTAATTGGAACTCATTCTCAAGCTGGATTTTGGTTTCGTTAAAGTTTTGAGTAGAGTTTGGTTAATATTCATACTTTTAAAGTTATAATAGTTTTTTTCGTTATTTTTCTGTTACCTTTTTATAAGTTGTATATTTTTTTCAATGTAATACGAATTACCCTCTCGTTCCTGGATATTTTTTATACTGAAGGGAGTCTAGAGAGTATCAGGGCGGGACGTTGCTTAAATTCAGGGATAAAATATTGCACCCTAATAATAATGCGCGATATATGATAATAAAGTGATTGCAATTGAACAAGACTGATATATCATCAATGACATATATCATCATTGTGCAACTGGTTACCGGGACAAAGTCCTTCCCTATTAATTAAATCGAATACCGAGAATGGGCTATGACCCATCATAAATAAATAAATAAAATTGGAGCCGAGTACGGTTCTGTGGTCAGATGCCGAGACCAACGGCTTAACGTGCCTTCCGAAGCACAGCGGATTATACATTTTGGGTATCCATCTTCTGACTGGGTCTTGTGAAAGTTGCTTGACTTCATAAACCGAACGCGATGACCAGCCTTTTAATCTTTGAAAATCTGGGATTTCCAAGCCCCTATCTTACCCATCCATAAAACCTGTTAACTATGTCACAAAATTTTACAGAAGGACGCGATAGAACAGCAATTTATATAATTTACAGAAGGCAACCCTATCCAGATTCAGAGTCCGTCATTATACGAATTGCACGTCGCGCCAACCTAAACGCTGCTAAAAGCAGCCTGCCCACAGCCTATTACAAAATTTACGAGCGGCCTACAGTCGCTAAACCATTAAGAACTTAACGATTTTGCTCAATCACACTGCCGATCGGTGGTCTGTCATCATCTTAAACGATTTCACCGACTGCAGCCGCTAAAGGAAATGTATTTTTGATGAGTAGGTTTTTATTGCAAACATTTATATTTTAAAGGTCGCATTTGATCTATAATATTTTTAGCTTGACTTATGGTTAGTAAAATTTTATAAAAATAAAATATTACATAAAAATGTGAGACACCTAGTTGCATAAACTTCTATTAAAATTGTCACTTGTTTAAATCCAATTAACCACAAAATAAAAAATCAAATTTAGAACATTCATTAGAGCATAAAGTCGTCATCGAACCATAGTGGACGTTTGTCCAACTGGGCGTTAAACAGTCAACAGTTATTTATTATATTAAGCACTTATAAATTTTATCCTGACTCCACCTTTAAAAATAAGTGAAACTGCCAATGATATCCCATTTGTATCTTGATGCAAAATTTCTATATATGTATAATGTTTTAAAACAATTAACTGTGCATCCCGAATAAAAGTAGTGTCAAAATTGTCGGCACAAGGAGTATAATGAGTGAGGCCGGCGCCAGTGGGGCCTGTGACTTGCATTAATGCTCCGCTCGTGACATAACCACCACCCTAGAGAAGATCGCCAGTTGTATAATTCAAACGTAAAAGGTGTACATCTTGCAGTGTTAACTTATTATTGATATCTGCAACCTATTGTATATTAGGTCAGGTAGT